TTTATAATTGAGGAATACTATCTTGTGAGGTCTTTTGGGAAGCCGAAAGCAAAGCCATGAGAGCTTACTCTCAAAGTGGATAATATCATACCATTGTCGGGAGTCTTGTTCTTCTAACAATGAGTTCTACCATGTCTGAGAGTCCAGTTGGGTTTTTCTTGTTTGTGGTAAGAACGGGTTTTGTTCTAGTACTCGAAAATTATATTCTAAAATCTTTCGTATGTTCCCGTTATTTACTTTTACATCAATAAAATAAAATAAAAAAATAAAAAACAAAATATAAATTTTTGGAGTGGAAGACAAAACGACGGCGTTTAAGAAGAAAGTGAAAACGGAGTAGAAATGTAAATATAGGAAAAAGTAGTCCCTTTTAGACAAAGTAGCGACATTTTTAAGCAGGATAAAGCTTCCTTCTTTTTCGACTCTGTAGAACTGAACTGAAACCAAGAACTTACGGACACAGAGGTAGAGAGGTAGAAGGTTCAAGAAGATCGAGCTCAAAATTGAGCTTCCTCTCACTACAAAATCAAGAAGCTTAAAATCATCGAGTTCTATTTTCCTTTTCCTCTTGCATGTAGATGCTATTTGAAACCGCCGTTCTGTTCTTAATCCATTGGTTTCGCCTCGCTCGACTTCAATTCCATGGCGAACAATCATTCCGAGACTCCCTCCGATGATTTCCTCGAGCAGATTCTTGGGATTTCCCCTTTTGGTTCGGCGGAGCAAGGGTTAGCTGGAACCGACGGCGGATTGGTAGGAGCTGCTGCTGCTGCTGCGGCGGCGGCTCACGGTCAGGCTCCGATGATGCTTCAACTTAGCTCCGGCGATGGCGGTGGCCACATCTCTACGATTGGAAGTGGAAGTGTCGGTGGTGCAGGGTTCCATGGCGGAACCCCTTTTCCTTTGGGGTTGAGCTTGGACCAAGGGAAGAGTGGGTTTCTTAAGGCTGAGGAAGCTTCTGGAAGTGGCAAGAGGTATTGTGGTGAGGTTGTTGATGTTCGAGCTTCAACTGTGAAAAATGTAAGCTCATGATTCTCTTTAACCAAAATCGTTTTGTTGTTTCTTCATATAGTTAAATCTATGTGCTGGTAGAGTTATGGTTGAATTACTGATATAGAATCATGATTTCTCTTATGTGTTCATATTATTGTGTTCTTCTTGAAATAACATGAACTGCTATGATCACTTATGGCTGTGATGTTTCTGGTTTTTGGTGTCTTGCTTAAGAGAAACAGGAAATTACAGACAGTTCTGTTTGATGTATTGCCATTCTTTTGCTCTTGAGACAGAGTGGATGCAAACTATTTATTTCAGACATCTTTGGAGTGTTTGATTGCATTGAGTGACTCTCTTTTAAGCTTTTTGCAGGTTTATCAAGGCCAACAAATGCATGCTACTATGGGTGCAGCACCGCATCCACCAACGATGCGCCCTAGGGTACGAGCAAGACGAGGACAGGCGACTGATCCACATAGCATTGCAGAGCGGGTAAGATAGATGCCAGTTTTGGAAACCAGAAACGGTTCGCTGTTGCTAGATGATTATTGTATCAAAATATTATTGCAGCACTTCTCAGTTTCTTGAAGTAATTTTCGTCGCCATTTATTTGTTACAGTTACGAAGAGAAAGAATTGCAGAGAGAATCCGGGCTTTGCAGGAGCTTGTTCCGAGTGTCAATAAGGTGATTATCTATGATTTTAAGTCATTGAAATTATTGAGATGATTGCCCAGAAAACCTGGTAAAACATCGGATGATAAGGAATTTAAATGGTCTTAGCATATGTTGATTGTTCCCTACATAGTTAAGATCTTAATCGTCAATAGCTCGAATTACCCTTACAACTCGTATTCCCCTCGCCCATGTGAGGGCTCCCGTCAAATCATATCTAAGCATGAATGCGTTTTACGTGTGGGGGGGGGGGGGGGGGG